ATCAAATCAACTACCCCCAAAGTCAGTCAAGGGATAGACAAAGAGTACAGGAAACCTAATATATAAAGAATGGAGGAGGAAAAAAAAAAGAACCTTCAGACTGTGTCTAAATCTTCAAGAACTCAGGAACAAATTAAGGATGGAGATTCAATCATTAAGAAATTCAATATCTGAAATGAAACATACAATAGAGGGATTTAAAAGCAGATTAGATATACTAGAGGAGACAGTAAATGGAATGGAAATTAGAGAAGAGGACTACAAAGAAGCTGAGGCAGTAATAGGATACTAAGTGAGTTAAATTAGACTGTTAGATAGTAAGGGCACTATCCTTGAACCTTTGTTAACCACAAATGTAAAGCTTGCAATGGCAATAAGTACATAGCTATCGATAATCACCCTAAATGTAAATGGTCTGAATGCACCAATCAAAAGACAAAGAGTCACTGAATAGATAAAAAAATAAGACCCATCTATATGCTACCTACAAGAGACTCACTTCAAACCCAGAGACATACACAGACTGAAAGTGAAGGGATGGAAAAAGATTTCATGCAACTAACAGGGAGAAAAAAGCAGGAGCTGCAGTACTTGTATTAGACAAAATAGACTTCAAAACAAAGAAAGTAACAAGAGACAAAGAAGGACATTACATAAAGTTAAAGGGGTTAAATCCAACAAGAGGATATAACCATTATAAATATCTACCCAACACAGATGCACCTACATATGTGAAACAAATATTAATAGAATTAAAGGGGGAAATAGAATGCAATGCATTCATTTTAGGAGACCTTAACACACCATATACTCCAAAGGACAGATCAACCAGAGAGAAAATAAGTAAGGAAACAAAGGCACTTAACAACACATTATAACAAATGGACCTAACAGACATCTACAGAGAGCTCCACCCAAAAGCAACAAGATACACATTCTTCTCAAGTACACATGGAACATTTTCAAGAATAGATCATATGTAAGGCCACAAAAAGAGCCTCAGTAAATTCAAAAAGACTGAAATCGTACCAACCATCTTCTCAGACCACAAAGGTATGAAACTAGAAATAAATATTGCAAAGAAAAAAAAAAGCCCACAAACACATGGAGGCTTAACAAAATGCTCATAAATAATCAATGGATCAATGACCAAATAAAAACAGAGATTAAGCAATATATGGAGACAAATGACAATAGTTCAACACCACAAAATTTGTGGGAAGCAGCAAAGGCCATGCTAAGGGGGAAGTCTATTGCAGTATAGGCCTACTTCAGGAAAGAAGAACAATCCCTAATGAACAGTCTAAACTCACAGTTTATGAAACTAGAAAAAGAAGAACAAATGAGGTCCAAAATCAGAAGAAGCAGGGACATTATAAAATTAGAGCATAAATAAAAAAAATAGAGAATAATAAAACAATAGAAGGAATCAATGAAAGCAAGAGCTGATTCTTCAAGTAAATAAATAAAATAGATAAACCCCAAGCTAGACTTATCAAGAAAAAAAGAGTGTACACATATAAACAGAATCAGAAATGAGAAAGGAAAATCACTATGGGCACAATAGAAATATAAAGAATTATTAGAGAATATTATGAAACAGAAAATCTGAACAGACTAATGACCAGCAATGAAATCGAACTGGTAATCAAAAACTACCTAGGAACAAAATCCTGGACCAGATGGCTTCTCTGCTTACTTTTATCAAACACTTAGTGAAGACCTAATACCCATCCTCCTTAAAGAAAGAGTAGAAGAAGAGGGAATACTTTCAAACTCATTCATGAGGCCAGCATCACTCTAATACCAAAACCAGGCAAAGACACCACAAAAAAAAGAAAATTACAGACCAATATCCCTGATGAACATAAATGCAAAAAGAATACTCAACAAAGTATTAGCAAACTGAATTCAAAAATACATCAAAAAGATCATCCATCATGATCAAGTGGGATTTATTCTAGGGATGCAAGGATGGTACAATATTAAAAAATCCATCAACATCATCTACTATATCAACAAAAAGAAGGACAAAACCACATGATCATCTCTACAGATGCCGAAAAAGCATTTGATAAAATTCAACATCCATTCATGATAAAAACTCTCAACAAAATGAGTATAGAGGGAAAGTACCTTAACATAATAAGGGCCATATATATGACAAGCCCACAGTCAACATCATACTTAACAGCGAGAAGCTGAAAGCTTTTCCTTTAAGTTCAGGAATAAGACAAGGATGCCCATTCTCCCCACTTTTATTCAACATAGTACTGGAGATCCTAGTCACAGAAATCTGACAACACAAAGATATAAAGATATAAAAGGCATCCAAATTGGCAAGGAGAAGTTAAACTCTCACTGTTTGCAGATGACATGATATTGTACATAAAAAACCCTAAAGAATCCACTCCAAAACTACTAGATCTAATGTCTAAATTCAGCAAAGTTGCAGGATATAAAATTAATACACAGAAATCTGTTGCATTCCTATAAAATAATGAAGAACTAGCAGAAAGAGAAACCAGGAAAACAATTCCATTCACAATTGCATCAAAAAGAATAAAATACCTAGGAATAAACCTAACCAAGGAAGTGAAAGACCTATACCCTGAAAACTACAAGACACTCATGAGAGAAATTAAAGAAGATACCAATAAATGGAAACACATCCCATGCTCACAAGTAGGAAGAATAAATATTGTCAAAATGGCCATCCTCAGGGAAGGCAGTACAACACAGGGAAGACAAGTAGTGATTCTATAGCATCTTACTATGCTGATGGACAGTGACTGTAATGGGGTATGCGGTGGGGACTTGATAATGGGGGGAGTCTAATAACCATAATGTTGCTCATGTAATTGTACATTAATGATACCAAAAAAAATGGCCATCCTGCCTAAAGAAATCTGCATATTCAATGCAATCCCTATCAAAATACTGACAGCATTCTTCAATGAACTAGAGCAAATAGTTCTAAAATTCACATGGAACCACAAAAGACTCTGAATAGCCAAAGCAATCCTGAGAAGGAAGAATAAAGCAGGGGGGATTATGCTCCCCAACTTCAATCTGTACTACAAAGCCACAGTAATCAAGACAATTTAGTACTGGTGCAAGAACAGACCCATGGACCAATGCAACAGACTAGAGAGCCCTGATTTAAACCCAAGCATATATGGTTAATTAATATATGATAAAGAAGCCATGGACATACAATGGGGAAGTGACAGCCTCTTCGACAACTGGTGTTGGCAAAACTGGATAGCTACATGAAAGAGAATGAAACTGGATTATTGTCTAACCCCATACACAAAAGTAAACTCGAAATGGATCAAAGGCCTGAATATAAGTCATGAAACCATAAAACTTTTAGAAGAAAACATAGGCAAAAATTCTTGAATATAAACATGAGCACTTTTTCCTGAATGCATCTCCTTGGGCAAGGGAAACAAAAGCAAAAATGAACAAATGGTCCTACGTCAAGTTAAAAAGCTTCTGTACAGCAAAGGACACCATCAATAGAACAAAAAGGCATCCTACGGTATGGGAGAATATATTTGTAAATGACATATCCAACAAAGGGTTATTAACATCCAAAATATATACAGAACTCACATGTCTCAACACCTGAAAAGCAAACATCCCTATTAAAAAAAATGGGTAGAGTAGCTGAACAGACACTTCTTCAAAGAAATTCTGATGGCCAACAGGGACATGAAAAGATGTTCCACATCACTAATCATCAGAGAAATGCAAACTAAAACTACAAAGAGATATCACCTCACATCAGTCAGAATGGCCAGCATCAAAAAGACTAAGAACAACAAATGCTGGTGAAGATGTGGATCAAGGGGAACCCTCCTACACTGCTGATGGGAATGTAAATTAGTTCAACCATTGTGGAAAGCAATACGGAGGTTCCTCAAAAAACTAAAAATAGAAATACCATTTGGCCAAGGATTTCCACTCCTAGGAATTTACCCAAAGAATACAAGTTATCAGATTCAAAAAGACATGCACCCCCCATGTTTATTGCAGTACTATTTACAATAGCCAAATATGGAAGCAACCTAAGTGTCCGTCATAAAGAAGAGGTGGTATATATACACAATAGAATACTATTCAGCTATAATAAAGGAACAAATCCTACCATTTGCAACAACATTGATAGAGCTAGAGGGTATTATGCTCAGTGAAATAAGTCAGGCAGAGAAAGACAAATACCAAATGATTTCCCTCATTTGTGGAGTACAACAACAAAACTGAAGGAACAAAACAGCAGCAGACTCAGAACTCCAAGAAGGGACTAATGGTTACCAAAGGGAAGGGGTAGGGGAAGGTGGATAGGGAGGGAGAGAGAAGGGGATTGAGAGGTATTATGATTAGTACACATGGTGTGTGTGGGGTCACGTGGAAGACAGTTTAGCACAGAGAAGACAAGTAGGGACTCTGTGGCATCTTACTACACTGATGGACAGTGACTACAATATGGTACAGGGGGTGGGGACTTGATAGTAAGGGTGAATGTAGTAACCACATTGTTTTTCTTGTGAAACCTTCATAAGAGTATATATCATGATACCTTAACAAAAAAAAATATTAAGTAAGCAATAAGACTAGGTTTTTGCCACATGGCTCAGCCTTGGACAGAAAAAACAGAAAGCTGAGTGCTTGAAATTTTGGTCTGGAATGACTGGACACAGAAATGCCTGAAATGGTGCAATTCCAGACCTGTGATATGTGCATCACAGAAGAAAAATCTCAGATTCTGTCAGCAAGTAACAGGTCTTATAGATTATGTAGTCCAAACCCTTGATTATACAAGATGAGGAAGTGGAGTTTCAAAGTAGATCAGACCTAAAGAAGATCTCAGCTGAGTCAGGACTACATCCACATCCTTTGAACCTTCATGCAGAGCTTTCCACCTACTGTGCAGCTGTTCAAGGATCCCAAAACGTTTCCTTAGTTGATACCTTCTCCCTTTTGGAATGTCTTACCTGACACCTGCCATTTGCACAGATATCTAATCCCTGGTAGCCACAGGAAGTTCCATCCATCACTTTTTCTGATAGAAGAATAGGCTGTTCTTTTCCAACAGGAGAGCAAAACAAGGCACATGGTTTTTCTACACACAGAGTGGATAAAAAGAAATGAGCAAAAGTTACTTCATAAACATTATTTTATCACAAGCTTGATTTTCAGAGTAAAACATATAATTCGAGGTTAATTGAGTAATGAAATATTAGAATAGATAATACTAGGGAGTTATTGTGAGTAGAAGGTGAGATGATACCTGGGGGAAAAAAATAAGTGTTCCATGAATATTAATCTTCTTCTTAAGAAATACAACTGCAAATTATTTTCAAAACGTATCACCTAATATTTTTGGCACTAAAACTCTACCACACATAAACCAGGTATTCTTCCTGAAAAATATTTTGCACACCCCCATTTTTCACTCATATCTTTTGGAACAAACTCCCCTTTATCTTAAGTACATATCAGAATTCTGCCAAGTTAAGATGTATTTTATCCATGAAGCCTTTCTTGACATTTCAGTTCTAAACGCCACTGCACTAATTTTCAACCCTATGCATTTTGCATTTTCTTACTGAAAAGATTCCTAGAGGGAGAAAGATGAACTAAGATGAGCATCTCCTCTAAGATTTTCCAATATGAGAACGTTTCGAAATGCAATTCAGTCCCATGAGAACATCCACTGGAATGCGCAATTGCTGAAGTGCTAGTTAAGCTCAATCCCTTTTATCGTTCCTCAGAAAGCATGTCAGTATATATGATATCTAGGTTGAGAACCACTATTCTAAGGAAAGAACATCTCTCTCTCTGTGGGCAAAATTGCAATTATTTCCAGAATCTCTTGCCTGACTTTATTGCATCTCATCTCCATATCAGTAGGTGTTTCCAAGGGATGGAGAGAAGTAGTCCATTTCCATATCAGTAAGTAATTACAAGGGTGAGCAGGGCATGTCTGGACTGGAGAGGTTGGGTGGGGCCCCTTCTACTGCAGCCGGGTCATGAGCGACACGGGGGAGCAGTAGTGGACAACTGCTTGTAAGAAATAAATGGGTTTCTCCCACTTTATTCTCCCTTTGATTTTGGTTTCAAAGGTATTTTGCCCTGGGATTTCCATCCCCAAGAGCTACACTCTCTTTCTCTCTCTCTCTCTCTTTTTTTTTGCTTTCTGATAAATGACCCTGCTATTTTGAAGAATTCTTGAATGGCTGGCTATCTTCTCCAGTGCTTCACTAAGCAATAATGGAAGATGGTTAAAGTTAAAACACTTGCCTGCTGTGCTCAGTGAGTGGCAAAATATTTTGAAAGTGCTGTTTCTATTTGTAAGCATCCTACAGAGGAGCTGTAGTATTTGGTAACACCAGCAGTAGAATTATTCAAATCTGCAACTTCAGAGACATTTCTATGCTACGTTACTACTCTATTGGCTTGACACCAGTCAGGCTCTTTACTGTTTATTAAGCTCATATAAATAGAATGGAAAATAGTTTATAGTCTCTGACACTGATCTTCGCTTTTGTCTTCGGTAAAGTTCCACGTATGCTGATGGGATTCTATAAATACCAAATAACAGCCAGAGGCATGGAAGAGGGTATCAGTTTGCAAAGAGAAGACAGACAGTTAAATGAGCCTTCAGAATTGAACATTTCAAACAGTTTTCACATGTGGCTTCTGAATACTGCTCTGAACAATTCTGGGGACTTGGAACATGGCCTTTCATGTGCATGGTTTTGAAATTTTCCTTTAAGATGCCATTATAAGCTGCAATAAAGCATCTCAGTGTGCTCTCACACCTCAAACTAGGTTATGTTTATTCAGTGACTGCCCGCTATGTTAAATATTTGGACTTAAAAACCACTGCTGTAATTGTAACACTTTGAAAGCAGTGTGTGTGTATATATGTACATATATATATACATATGTATATATGTATATATATATGTATATATATAATTCTCTTTTTGAAGTTTTCATTGAAGAGAGGAACAAATGAGATATATGACTAATGCTAGAAAAGTCAGTCTAGAAAATTCCCTTCACATTCTAAGCAAGAATTCAGATAAAAATCTTTGGATTTCTCCTCTACAACACATTGTCGATTCACTGTGCTTAGTTTAGCTTTATAGATGACATAAACATTTGATACCAATTTTCCTTCCTGGAAATATACCCTTGAGATGGTGGCATTATAGTGATCCATGTAACATGCTAGTACTTGGCAGGCAGGCTATGTCTTGATTTAAGAGAACAATCCTTTCCAAGATATGCATTAAACATGCATTTCAGCCAAATTTCAGCACAGTGGATGCAAAATACCTGAATGTTAAAGCCAGGTGTCTTTTTTCTCTAAAAATAAAAGCTCACCACTGCACTGATACCCTATATTTAATTCTCCCTGCCACAGATTCACATATTACATAAGAAAAACAGAAATAGCCATTTGTATTTTAAGCGGTCATGGTATTAAGACTTGGGATTTTTTAAAGAACTGTATATTCCAATTTCTTCCACAGTACCATAGTATACGATGATTATTGTTGTGTTTTTTATTCATCATGAAGACTAATGGGTTTGACTGATATGTGTTATAAAATTATTAAAAAAAGCTAATCTGCTAATTATATAAATATCTATTATAGATCATTCTGACAATAAATATCATCATGTGTTAGCAGTTTCTTTAATTGTGAGTAATTTCCAACAGCTTTAGTATTTAAACTGAACCCCATCTGATTCTGATTTTTTTTTTAGTCTGGAAGGAACCTACATTTTATCTCTTATTTCACATATGAGTAAATCAGTTTCAAATGAATTGAATATTATCAAATCGCACAGCCAGTTAGAGGCAGAGACAGGATTAACCTTCAAATGGTCAGATGATGATTTGCATGATTAGAAGTCTTACTGATTCTATTTTTACAATAAAAAGACATTGCTCTTCTATTCGAATTAACAAATATTCATCAGAAACCCAGAAACAGAGGGAATACAGACACATTAAAATCTGCTACAACATTGCACCGGGAAGGGGCACACACCCAATTTGGAGAATCAGGGGGATTTTTTTTTTCCTAGACATTTGACATAAACCGAGTCCAAAGAAATCAGTAGGAGTTTTCAATGTAAATAAATGGGGAGAGAGAGATCAAAGCTTCAGAAATCAAAGGTATTTATGCCAAGAAACTAGCATGTTTACAGGCCCAGAAATAAGAGAGCATGATGTATATGAGGGAGTTAATGGAATTCAGCCTGGCTGCACTGGAGATAACAGAGGGAACGAAGGAAATGAGGCAAGAGCAGTTAAAGGGGGACACAAAATGGCCTTATAACCAGGTAATAAAGCTCGAGACTGGTCCTCAGAGCAACGGGACTCATGGGCTCATGCTCAATCAGGGAGCAGACCAAGGATGGTCATGTTGTGCACGTTATGTTAGGCACTTGGGTCTGTACCTGAAGAGTCAGGGGAAGCCTCTGAAGTGCTTTAGGTGGGAGGCTGAGAGTGTATCTACATTTCATATAAAGATCTCTAAGCTGTCCTATGAAGAGTGAATTGAGGCAAGAGAAGAGTGGAAGCAGAGAGGCTGCTTTGGAGCCCCTAGCGTAGGCCAAGGGAGAGAATCTGGGACCTGGAAGTTCGAATCGGGAGAGCGGAGAGGGAGCGGACAGAGATTCCGGAGGTAAAGTAGGTAAGGCATGGTGATGGGCTAACACTAAGATGGAAATGTTAAGAATGGCATACATCGCTAGCTTGTGCAACTGGAAAGCTGGTACAACCCTCAGTGAGACAGGAGACACCCAAGAGGGTCTGAAGAGACATGGACTGGAAGGGTTATGATCATGACTTCAGTCTTAAACTTGCAGATATCCAAGTAGAAATATCAAGTAGAAAATCGTACATAGAAGTTTGGAACTCAAAGGAAAAATGTGGCTGAAGACATAAATTCATGAGTTATTTGCATATTTGAACTCATGGGAATAGATAATAGATGAGGTTACCTAAGAAGAAAATGCAGAGTGAAAACTTAAGCCTCAGGGACAGGACGGAGGAGAGGCACACCCCAGGAAGAGAGAGGGGAAGGCAAGGCGGTGCTGTGCTATGGAAATAAAGACACATGAGTGTCTCAGGAACCAAGTGTGGCTACTCATTAGAAGGTATTTGAAAGGATAAGTAGGAAGGGCCCTGGAAACCATTCATTAGACTGAATTTCCATGAAAGTTCTTGTTGACATTCGTGAGATTTGTGTTGGTTGAATCCAGCTTGAAAGTAAAGAAACAAGGAGCTGGAAAACAGACAGCTCTTTGGAGAAATATCTATGAGGGGCAAGAGGGTGAGTGTACCAGTCCGAGGTGGCTGTATGTTTTCAGGAAGGTTTGTGTTTTTTACTGGAGGTGTCCTAAATATGTTTAAAAATGAATGTGAAAGATCACAGCAACCAGATTAAACACACAGGAGAAACCAGGGACAATTCGTAAGCCACCTGAAAGAGGGAAGATGGGGATGGACACCAGGCCACAGTTGGGGAGACTGGCTTTGGGATGGAAGAACCAAAATTTTGCTGCATAGTTGAAGGCAGATGGAATACCTGCAGATACACTTAGGCTTATGTATTTGTTAGCAAAAAAATGAGGAGGTAATCATTTGATGGCTACTGCCCCTAGACCCCCATTACGTAGATGAACAATTTTCCCTATTGTTTGGCTGGTTCCATTAGTGCTCACATGCTCATGGTTATACCGAGAGAATGGTTTTGTCAGATGGGTGCACTGAAATCGAAAAACAATGGAATTCAGGCTAGTGTCACGAGGGTTGCTGAAATGGTGGAAGGCACAGTCCAAACTGACCAAGTGCAGGAAAGGAAAGGAGAGACTAGGGGCATGATGGTCAGTTAAGTCACAGAATTCACCACCACGTTTGCTTGCTGTAACTCAAACCCGAGCCCACTGCTCACTGGCAAGAATGATCATTCTTAAGTAACAAGGCAGCATATCATTTTCTTAAAATTCTTCATCTGAAATAATGAAAGATTTAAAGAAAGATGCAAAAATAGAGCAGAGAGGTTTCATATACCTTTCTCCCAGTTTTCCCCAAGGGTTACCCCTGGGTAGCCGTAGTACAGCAGCAAACCCAGGAACCTGGCTTGGCACATGGAGGTCAAGAGTTCTATGCTGTTTCATCGCACGTGGAGATTTTTAAACCACCACTACCATCAATATACTAAACTATTCTATCAGCACACAGTTCTCCCTCATGCTACCCTTTATAGTTATAAAGCTACCCATTCCTCTCCCCACCACCTTCCCTGACTCCTGGTGACCATGAATCTCTCCGTGTTACATGTCTATAGTTTTGTCATTTCAAGAATGTCATGAAGATGGAGTTATCCAATATGTGACCTTCTAGGATGTGCTCTTTTCAATCAGCATAATGCTCCAAAACCCACCAAGTCATTGCACAGATCAACAGTCTGTTCCTTTTATTGCTGCATAATACCCCACGGTATTATGAAGGGATATACTTCAGCATGGCTGACTATTTAGCTACTAGAACCTTTCTGGTTGTTTCCAGTTTTTGGCTATTAAAAAAAAAAAAAAACTGCTATGAACAGGATTTCTTTATGGTCACAAATTTTCAATTTTCTGGGATAATTGCCCAGGCCTGTGTTTTCTAAATTGTATCGTAAGTATATACTTAGTTACTTAAGAAACTGCCAAGCTGTTTTTCAGAGTGGCTGTACCCTTTTACATTCCTACCAGCAATGACAAATCCAGTTCCTGCACTTCCTCACCAGCATTTTGGACTGTCACTCTTCTTTATTTTAGTTCATCTAACTGGTGTGTAATAATAACTCTATATTTTTTACACATGTTTTTTTAGTCAGTGCTTGTGGTTGTTGTATGTCAATAAAGTTTAGAAAAAATAAAGCTCTAAAATAGCTGATATACAGTCTGTAAAATAACATTTACTATTATTGTGAAGCACCTTGCAAATCCAGAGGTCTACTTGAATAAGATGGGGGTGAGCCGGTTGGCCATACCTTCATCCAGGACAGCTTGCCACTGAAGTACATGCTTTGGGTACGAAGTTCTAACACTATAGGCCTGACATTGCCAGTCTCTGAATCCAGGCAAACCTGCAGGACAAGGTGGATTCTCACATATTCTGTATTGTTTTCTGGGACCATTACAATCCCTTGCTTCAGAACCTAGCCTAGAAAAGATAGTACAAATAATCAATTTTATCTTTTTTTAAAAAATATTTGTTACTCATTAAAAAAATGAAAAGGTATTAAATTAATAAGGTTAAATCCTTTATAGAAAATCTACTTTGGAAAATGTGGGCACACTAAGTGACTGGTGATAGTAGGGAATCTATATGTTTATTTTTTTTTAAACTTCTTTTTTCCAATTCTTGATGAATTTAACTTCCAAAATACATGAGAAAATAAAAGCCAACTTGCCCTGGAAGTGATACAGAACAGTAAAGGGCAGAGGCTGGGGGCAAAATAGAAAGCCTGCAATTCCCACAAAAGAGTCTAATTCTAAGAATTATTAAGGAGATGCTTCTAATGTTTTCATATACATTCTTTTAAATTGCTTGTGAAGGAGTTGGGACACTGAGACCACACCAAGAGTTAAAGCATAAGCTGTAATGACTTTCTCACAGAGCTTTCTAGGCTTTCCTAGAACCACTCTAGGAGTGATGGGGTTGAGCAAGCTGATCTTATAAGGCTCTCTGTCTGTACATGTGCTTAGCATGTTCTCATTTGTCATCACTCCTGGCTTCTACTGACATTCATTTTGTTTCCCTTCCCTCCTTTTCTGAGGTCCTAGCATCTTCCTGCTCTTCTCACAGTTCCTTTAAGTGTTGACTGACTGTTAATACATATCTCCCTGCTCACTTAAGCACATGTGATTTGATTACTCAAGAAATTACCCCGTGCAGCATTTATTTGTTCTCAGAAGAGGTGGTCTTATTTTCTTCTCAACAGGGAGTTTTTATGCAAAATAGATAACTGGAGGGACTTTTCTGTTTTCCAACGTGCAGTAGGGTTTCAAGGGCCTTTTTTGCTTTCCAACATAATTTATCAGTAAAACCTTTGCATTTCAAAAATGAGGGAGAAAAATGCCCTCCCCCAGTGCAGGAACTGTGCGTTTACCCAGGACATTTGCGCTCTCGACTGCTGATCCCAGAACTGCAGGTCCGGCTACAGGGGCTCCACGTGCTCCACTCTCCGGTCACATGTCCAGGTGCTGGGGTCCTGCTGGTACATTCTCCAGCCTTACACCACTATTCCAAAAGTTATGTCTTAGGTGAACAAATCAGGGCACAATGGAAAATCATTCACTGGCTTATAGAGTCACTGGAATTGCAATTACTTCAGGTCTACTGGAGCCCCAAACATGGGGAATTGAAAAAGAACAAAAATAAGTTGGTGCTTGCTTATTGTCAAGGTCATATAAGGGTCACTTCTCCCAGGCCTCATGTCAGGTCATACAGTCTTTTCATGCAAACCGCACACATAATTTGTACTGTAGCCCTGAGAATTCAGTACTAGGATGGAGATGGAATTTGGGGCTGAACAGGCTGGGAGAAAAACTAACATGTTCTAAGACACCTCATGATTTAAAAGGGAAGGGTAAAGAAAGACAGTCAAATATAAGAATGGAAAAATAAGATTTAAATGTCCTTCTAGGGTGAACCAGAAAACTTAGGAATTTTGATTTGAAATGTCAGTGATTCAGGGTACTCTCATTCCTTATTATAAGAACATCATTGACTTAATTTTAGCACTTTTCTTTATACCTTTTTAATTTTTTCTGAAAGAGCTCCCATCAAATTTAAGCATTAACATTACAGCAAATTTTCTTTTGAAAGCTGTTTTATTCAAAAGATGTGGGCAATGAGATGCTTTGAGATGCTTGCATTTTACTCCAATTATACACACTTTCTGCCTAGTAGCTACGAATGACACCCATATAAGGAGAGAAAGGAGTGTGCTCATTCTTTCTCATCTTTTCCACTAACTTTAAACTAAAGCAGCAAAAGAGGATATTTCCTTGGTCACTGAGGAAGGGTTGCCAGAATTTGGTGGGAGAATACAAATTCTCCTTATTCCTGGAAAATCAGAAGTATGATGGTCACTGCAAACATGTTAAAGTTAAAAATTAATTGAACAAAATCATGTTAAGAATAATAAGATTAGCAAAATTTAGATTAGTGATTGTATAATAACGGGGGTGTTGAACAAGTTGATCCTACTAGCTGTAAATCATTTTCTACACTTAATGACAACATGATTTCTAAGGGATTTAAGGAAATAAAAGAAACATTCTTATCCTCAGGTTTCATATTTCAAAATGTGAACAATAATCATGTTTACCTAACAGACTTTTTGCAGGGCTTGAATGAAGCACTAAATACAGGCATAGCCCATACTAAGGATTCAATAAGTGTTAACAATAATAATAGTAGTAGTAGTAGTAGTAATAAGTTATATGTATCATGTTATTAATAAGCTTCCAGAAATCTAACCAAAATTCTATTCATTCTGATTTTATTGACCTTTAAAATTGATTTTGAGAAATATTTTTAATTTACTAGAAGTATTTAGAAAAGTATGCTATAGAGTTCTATATTGATATACTAAGGTTGTCTGAAATGAACTGAGATTTTGTATGAAGAGTTAGTCTGAAATCTGAAAAGTGGGGAAAAGAGCCAGCACAAACTTTTAAGCAACTTACTGGTTTTAAGAATTTAACAATGTTATGCCACTCATGGAAAAAAAAAAAATCCAATGTGCAAGCTGTCCAAACTTAAAATGGCCAATTGTTTTGGCCTACTTGAAGGGTGTTTATTTTTCTCAGAGTGCATATCATAGCTCCTTGTCCATTTAGCAGCAAGCTGGAATAGAAGGGTTGGGCTACAGTTCACAGTAGACTAAAAATATTCTGGGAAAGACCAGGATCTTGACTTGCACATTGCTTAAATTAGACCACATCTGGCAGATGAAGAGAAATGGAAACAGATAGGCAAGCCAAATTTGCATATAAAAATCAGTGAAGTTTAAAGAAAGCACAGCAAAGCACTTATAGCTCATCACCTTAGAGATAATCACACCTGTGGATGAAACTTGCTGTGTTTCAACACTGAGGAACCATTTAATGTCCTATTGGGTAATGCTTTTCTTAAATTTTCTAGCAGCATATTTTGTTTAATTTTTAATTTTTAGCCTCAGAAAAGATATTGCATGGTTTTAAAAACTCAAAATTTTCCTATCTCCTCATTTATGAAAATGCTAAAGGAATATTTCTGAGACAGTAAAAAACAGTTGACTGTATTTCTATTCTCTCAAATTTCATGTGGGTATGTTTAGGAAGTTCAAGAAAACAACTAGTTGGAAGAGGTGAAGATGTCATAGGAAGCATTATATTCCAATCAAATCTTGTGCATACTCCGTTGGAAGACAGAAGGGGAAAGAAGGCAATAAATTCTACATACGCAAATTTGTGATTGCAAGGGTGTTACAGTCTTTATTTTTTCAATAAAGAATGATGATGGTAACTTCAAGAATCTCAATTTAGTAAAGTAAATGACTAAAATATATTATGTAGCATCCTTCAAGATGAATCTGAAATTCTAGTAAATTGCTTTTAACTTTTATTTTCCCTCCTCCAATTCCTAGCAAATATTTTAACTAAAAAGCATATACTTCTTGTTTTTTTTTACCAAATCATTCATCAACTCTTTAACTTCTGTGAAATGTAAATGTAAACACAGATGATAGCATTATAAAGAAGAAAGGAGAAGGAAAAACAGGGTGCTTTTATATGGAAAATGCTGTGTATAATCAGATAAATCCCTACTTTCACAATCATTTCAATTTTAAAAATCTGTAGACATCTTCTCAGACTTAATTATATACTCTTAGATGAACTAGTTATACAGCTAGATTAACGTCCCTAAAGAGTAACACATTACAAACTTCTCAGCTTTGTTTCTTGGTTTGGAATGTACCAAGCTAGGAGTGTTCAGTGCAAGGTTGAAAGCGTTCAAATATTTTAGCACTACAGCACTCAAATGCCAAGTACTGAAAGCTGTTTTCATGATGGCTCCTACAACAGCTGGAACAGATGGATGTCTGAAGCCTGAGGAACTGAGAAGTTCATTAGTTATTTCAATCGACAAAGTATTACAAAACAACTGAAAGAATATCATTAGCATGATTATAGGGATATAAAATGTTTTAGTTCTGATGAGCAATTACAATTTTGATTGCTGAAAGATAAGGTTATTTTAGAGACCTCAAGAATGCAAATTTTTCACAAATATCGGAAGAAACAAATAGAAAAACAGGATACCAGATTATTAAAGTGAAGCTATTTTGTTATTAAAGAACTAAGTAAGACAAATGGGTTGTGTGATTTTTGAATATGGCTGACTCTTACTGCTTCTGATTTTAGGGATGAAAATTATTGCTGATACAGTTTTATGATTCAAGCAATAAATTACTCAGCATAATACCATGAGGCTTGCCTAATTTCCACACAATATTGTACTTCTGTGTATAATATTAACAAATAAAATCAACCCAAATTCTGACTTTCCATATAAGCTTAAAGAAAAACACTTGGCACAGTAAACAACTAACATATTTCACTGAAATTTGCTATCAAGGAACTGTTTTCTTATTGATTGTATCTAATGATAAAACATTTCTAGTCTTCATTTTTTTTTT